AGGCACCCAAGAGACCCCCAAAGGCCACAAACAATTCCCCAAGAGGCCCCCACATGGCCCACATAACGCCACAAGAAGCTTCAACACTCACTCAACAAGGCGCCCGAGAAGTATGCCACATGCCAGAAGACCCCGAATCGTAGGTGTCCAAGGATCCTCTGGTCCAAAACGCAAGTACAGTACGGGTATGGGCCGAAGGCCATAGATAAGCAAGCTACTGGTTTGGCGGCGGACCCATCCCTACGCAGCCATATATAGCGCAAGGCGTGGGTCTCTTCATACATTGTGCGCCGCGGGGCAATGCGGAAAAATGGTTGGCTGCTGCGGAGCACGCGTGCACGGGCGTGCTGAATTCCTGAATTCTTTGTAGGGCACGATCCGCGTGAAAGGTGTGCCGAACAGTCGGATACCCCCGCACGAACGCCCCCACTGAGGTCACAGATTGACCTCCTCCAGGCACGACCCGTGCGAGGCATGTTCGAAATGGGCTGGGGTACGCCATGCGAAGCTGGCCATTGGTGCCATAGGTGGGGTCCCTTCTGGGACATGGTTCGCGTGACGGGTTTGCCAACATGGGCGGGGGAGCGTTGTACGAATTTTGTCTCCGGGCTTTTAGGTGGTGTTCCTTGTGATCCGCGTGATGGGGAGTGTCGCACTGGCCATGGGGGGCGCAGTGCGAGCCTTCCCTTTGGGGCTGTAGGTGGAAATCCCTGTGGGCCACGATCCGTGTGAGAGGTGTGCCGAAGTAGACGGGAGGGCGGGATGCAAATTTTTATCTGCAGGGCCGACCGCGGAACTCCTTGCGGGCCACGATCCGTGTGAGAGGTGTGCCGAAGAAAGAGGGGCGACGCTATGAAGCTTCACCCTGGTGCGGCACACGCAAGTATTTGCAAGTCACGATCCGCGCGAGGGACGTGCCGCTATGCGAACCTTGCTTTTCTGGACGTGGGTAGAGTTCCCTGTGGGGCGCGATCCTTGTGAGGGGCGTGCCGACAAGAGCGGAGGAACGCTAGCCAAGCTTGCCTTTGGGGCTGCAGATGGAGGGCACAACCCGTGCGACAACGCATGTCCTCCAATACCGAGCACCTTAGGCTACAAGCATACATTGCTAGAACCTAGGCGCGTGAAGCCCGCGCGTGCTTCGTACATATAGATATACACACACATACATGCATACATGCATACATGCATACGTGCATACATGCATACATGCATACATGCATACATGCATGCATACATACATACATCCATACATGCATGCATGCATGCATGCATACATATATACATACATGCAAACATGCAGACATGCAGACATGCAGACATGCAGACATGCAGACATGCATATGTGCATACATGCATGCATGCATGCATGCATGCATGCATGCATACATACATACATACATATACACACATACATGCACACAGACATGCATGTGTTTACATACATATACACACAGTTGCCTGCGGCTGACCCCACCAGCGCCCTAGTGCAACAGCGAAGCAGGAAGGAGGCCGAGTGAAGGAACGGCGCAATTCCGAGGAGTGGTCAGACTTGGGACGGGTTGTGAACTCGACCTCGTCTGCGTCCGCGCGGTAGGAAGGTTGCCGAGCTCACCCCCAGCGGCGGTTCAGCGTTTGGTCTGAATTGGAGAGAGTCGTGATCTCGACCGCGTCTCCGTCCGCGCGGTAGAGAGGAGGTCGAGTTCACGCCCCGCGGCGGTTCAGCGATTGGTCTGAATTGAGAAGGTTCGTGACCTCGACCTCACCTTCGTTCGCGCGGTAGGGGGAGAGGCCGAATTCACGCTCCACGGCAGCTCAGCGAGTGGTTTGAACTGACGTGGGTAGTGATCTCGACCTCGCGTTCGTCCACGCGGCACGGAGGAAGCATCTTGAGGCCATCTAGCAATGGTCCGCGGGTTCGTCCGCGCGGCACGGGCTCCCTGGGGCCACCGTAGCAATTTGGGAGACCGCCGCGGCTGGCTTGGAGGCCATCTCGAGGCCGTCTGGAGCGAGAAGGCCGACGCCTGCCCCGTCGAGTTTCGATCCGATCGGCCTGGGCGCCCGAGGCCCTGGAGCACGGACAACGAGGAGGCGCCGCCGCGCCCGCGCACAAAGGGGGCGGGGCTCGTCGCCGCCTCCGCCGGCGTCGTCGTTGCCGTCTGCGGTCGCGTCGGCCCTTGGGGGCCTCCCGAGGGCCCAAGCGCGTCCTTGAAGTTCAATCACCCTCATCCTCCTCCTCCTCCTCCTCCTCCTCCTCCTCCTCCTCCTCCTCCTCCTCCTCCCTCCTCCTCCCTCCCCTCCCTCCCTCCCTCCTCCCTCCTCCCTCCCTCCTCCTCCCTCCTCCCTCCCCCTCCCTCCTCCCCCTCCTCATCCCTCATCCCTCATCCTCATCCTCATCTCCTCCTCCTCCTCCTCCTCCTCCTCCTCCTCCTCCTCCTCCTCCTCCTCCTCCCTCCTCCTCCTCCTCCTCCTCCCTCTTCCTCCTCCTCCTCCTCCTCCTCCTCCTCTTCCTCCTCCTCCTCCTCCTCCTCCCTCCCTCCCTCCCTCCCTCCCTCCCTCCCTCCCCCTCCCTCCCTCCCTCCCTCCTCCCCCTCCCCCTCCTCCCCCTCCTCATCCTCCTCCTCCTCCTCCTCCTCCTCCTCCTCCTCCTCCTCCTCCTCCTCCTCCTCCTCCTCCTCCTCCTCCTCCTCCTCCTCCTCCTCCTCCCTCTCCTCCTCCTCCTCCTCCTCCTCCTCCTCCTCCTCCTCCTCCTCTCCTCCTCCTCCTCCTCCTCCTCCTCTTCCTCCTCCTCCTCCTCCTCCTCCTCCTCCTCCTCCTCCTCCTCCTCCCTCCTCCTCCTCCTCCTCCTCCTCCTCCTCCTCTCCTCCTCCTCCTCCTCCTCCTCCTCCTCCTCCTCCTCCTCCTCCTCCTCCTCCTCCTCCTCCTCCTCCTCCTCCTCCTCTTCCTCCTCCTCCTCCTCTCCTCCTCCTCCTCCCCTCCTCTCCTCCTCCCTATTCCTCCTTCTCCTCCTCCTCCTCCTCCTCCTCCTCCTCCTCCTCCTCCTCATCCTCCTCCTCCCCCTCTTCCTCCGCATCCCCCGCATGCTCATCCTCCTCCATTACATTTCCTTCTACATAGTTTCTCCCTGTCGCACCCCGAGGCCAGTTTTTTATGGCGGACCAGGCGTTTCGCTTGAGACTTCCCCTCCAGTTATGATTATTAAATTAAAAATGACAATAGCTTCCCAGATGGAGGGCGGGTGGTTTTCAAAATGTGGCGTTCGTCTTAGCGCGGCACACATTCGTTTTGAACTTTTGCAAGAGATTCACGGATTGAGGGCTGATCGTTTTCAATATGTGGTTCTCGCCTTAGCGCGGCGCACATTTGTTGTAAAAATCTGCAAGAGCTTCACGGATTGAGGGTGTTCCTTTTCAAAATGTGGCTCTCGCATTAGCACGGCGCACATTCGTTTTAACAAACTGCAGAAGATTTACGAATTGAGGGCGGGTGGTATTCAAAATGTGGTTCTCGTTTTAGCGCGGCGCACATTCGTTTTCAAAATGTGCAAGAGAGTCACGGATTGAGGGCGGGTTGTTTTCAAAATGTAGTTCTCGCATTAGCGCGGCGCACATTCGTTGTAAAAATCTGCAAGAGCTTCACGGATAGAGGGTGGTTCCTTTTCAAAATGTAGTTTTCGTTTTAGCGCAGCGCACATTCTCGCTGTAAAGAATTGCAAGATGTTCACGGGTTCCTATCATCAACGTACACGACATGGCGTTTAGAAGGGATTCAGGATCACGCGGGCGCAACAGTTGCGTTGATTCGTTGTGTTGAAGTCCCCGGAATGGCGTTCCGCAGCGATTCAGGACCGTCACCATGCAACAGTCAGGTTGATCCGTGGTGTTGGAATCCCGAAAACAATCTTCTGGCATGCTTCAGGGTCTTCAAATGGTTGTCTTCCAACGAGGCAGTTCCCCAAATGGAAATGAACCGTTATAGGGGCCTGTGAAGAGGGAGCTTGGAGGGAGGGTTTATTCCAACATCATTCATGACTCTTGGGTTTACACTGGTCCTCCTCCTCCTCCTCCTCCTCCTCCTCCTCCTCCTCCTCCTCCTCCTCATCCTCCTCCTCATCCTTTTCCTCCTCCTCCTCCTCCGCTTCCTCCTCCTCGTTACCGCCGCCGCCGCCGCCCCCCGGACATCAAACCCGTGTGAATTTGTCACCCCGCGGTGACAGAGTTCCCGACCGCTTCCCCCGGGATAAGAAGCTTTTCGTCCGGGGTCTTGTTTCTGGATGGCCCAGCAGGGCCAGACAGCGGCCCCCGGGGGGGGGAGACGTGGAGGAGAAACCGCCGGTGGAGAAAAACACACCGTCGGAGATCTGCCCAGGCGCGCGGGCCGTGCCCACGCAGCTCCTGCAGGCAGCGCTGGCTTGGCTCGTGGGCAGCACCTAAGCAGCTCCTGGGCAGCGCGGGGGAGCACGGCCGCCGTCTCGCGCGAGGAGGCGCCCTCGCGCACACGCGCACGCACGGGGAGGCGCTGTCTGCGCGCCGCAGGCCGTGCCACCCCCGCGCGCAGGGGCGCGGGATGGCTCCGCGCCTCTCAGGGGCAACCCTGGCGAGGAAGGGCTCGGGCGGGAGCGCTTCGAGGTTCAAGGTTCGAGGTCTTCGGGCGCTTCCGTCCGCGATCTGCGGTTTGCCAGCTTCGGGGTGCGCTCCAGCGGCTGCGTCCCGCCGAGGGCGTTCCGGGGCTGCCCAGACCGTCCCAAACGGCCGTCGGAGGCGACTTGTGACCCGAAAGCCACCAGGGGATAGGTTCAGGGGGGTGGACGCATCGACCCCCAATCGCCAACTCATCGCCGACAGGGACCCGATGGCCCACCCCGCCGAGGAACCCAAGGGTTCTGGAGGGGCGGGGAGGTGACGCGGGAGATCGCGATGAGACCTCACGGCGAGCGATGGGCCGCCAGCCGCGACAGGGTTGGGCGCCGAGCGCGCATGCCGCCGCTGGCCGCTGGCCAGGCGCATGGGAGCGCAGTGGAAGGGGAGCTGCCGCCAGAGACCGGGCGGGCAGAGCCGCCGCAGGCAGGGGCCGAGCGCGCGGCACCAGCTGGGCGCAGCGAATACCGAAGGCCTGCCATCAAGTTTCACATGGCGAGGCCCCTCTCTGCCAGTGACGGCGCGGGATCCACCGGCCGCGCGCGCCCGCGGGGTACCTCCGCGGAGGCCTGCAAGGCGCGCACGGTGCAGCAGCGGGGCGCTGCAGCTGCAGCGCGGTGCTGGCGCCCGTGGGCACCTGAGCGCCTCAGGCCCTAATGCCGGGGTCCGCCCCGAGGGGCGTCGAGGTCCCCCGCGCCGTCGGCCCGGTGGGAGGGGCAAGGGCAGCCCGCCGCCCCTGCAGCAGGGGCGGAATGGCCAGCATTCAGCGCCACTCCCGCCCCACCGTGCCGCAGCGGGGCGCCGCGGCTGCAGCGGGCGCCGGGCGACCCTGGACTGCTGGGCCAGGGCCCGCCCCGAGGGGCGCGGAGGTCCCTCGCGCCATGGGCCGGGGAATGGGCCGGGGGGAGGGGCAAAGGGCAGCCCGCTCCCCCAGGTTCTGCAGCATGGGCAGCCTGGCCGGGCCTTCGCCCGGGCCTGACTCCCCCCAGTTCACCCCCAGAGGCCGCCTGGCGCGCGGGCGCCGGGGGCCACCGCATGGCGACAGTGGCGCAGCAAAGCCGCGCCGGTGACTGGGCGTCGTGACCACCCTGGCCTTCACGACGCCGACTTTCTCGACGGTATGGTGGCGCGGCGAAGACCCGTTTGCCGCGTGGCGGAGTGGACCGGCGGCGCGCAGGCATGCCGTTGGCAAAACTAGTGTGTCGTCATCTGATACCGCCGCCGCATCATCACCATGAGCCGTCGGCCCACTGTTGTCGCTCATTGTTTCCGCAATGCTGAGCTGCTGGAAAATATGTCGTCGTGGGGAGGTGTGATCGCAAGAGGCCCACCCTGAGGCCCTGAGGGAGTGTTATGTGCCCTGAGATCCGACGTGGCGGAAAGCTGCAAGACCGTCGATATAACAAATCGGATCGGAACACGCCTCTGTGCCCCCCTTCGGGCCCCCGCGGCCTTGGGGGCTCGAATTTCGTAGGGAAGGCCATACAATTCAACTACGTCGGGAGTCCAGATGATGATGATGATGATGATGATGATGATGATGATGATGATGATGATGATGATGATGATGATGATGATGATGATGATGATGATGATGATGATGATGATGATGATGATGATGATGATGATGATGATGATGATGATGATGATGGTGATGGTGATGGTGATGGTGATGGTGATGGTGATGATGTGATGATGGTGATGATGGTGATGATGGTGATGATGGTGATGATGGTGATGGTGATGGTGATGGTGATGGTGATGGTGATGGTGATGGTGATGGTGATGGTGATGGTGATGGTGATGATGATGATGATGATGATGATGAGAATGATGGTGGTTTGGGGGTGTTGTGATTTTGTCCCGCGGTTTCGGATCTCGGGCAATGGCAAGCAGACAGGGAGAGGCACGCACTGTCGCGAGCTGGCATGCACTTACGCATCATAAGGTTGATCGGTGCTGTTCTGTTCTACCCCATTGTCGTCCGAATTGCCCGACTGCAAGGCCGCCCAGGTAGAAGAAACTATATGATTGGTGTGTGAACCCTGCGCAAGGAAAGGGACGCACCAGCCAGGTCAACGAGAGACGCCACCCGATGGCGTCACTTTCAGGCATCGTTTTTGGACACCTATGCTGGCGGATAATAATCCAGGTGCGCGACGCAGAATTATCCCGGCAAAGCAACCTAACAGCGATGTGTAGAAGCATATCTGAAAGCATTCCCCTTAAGATTCAGATGAAAATCCAGTTGTAGAATTTTGCTGTTCTCGCAGTCGTAGTCGCATTCGCGATGACAGTCGCAGCGGCAACGGCAGTCGCAGTCACAGCCTCAACCTCAGCCTGCCTCAGCCTCAGCCTCAGCCTGCCTCAGCCTCAGCCTGCCTCAGCCTCAGCCTCAGCCTGCTTCAGCCTCAGCCTCAGTCTGCCTTCAGCCTCGGCCTCAGCCTCAGCCTGCCTCAGCCTCAGCCTGCATCAGCCTCAGCCTCAGCCTCAGCCTGCCTCAGCATCAGCCTGCCTCAGCCTCAGCCTCAGCCTGCCTCAGCCTCGGCCTCAGTCTGCTTCAGCCTCAGCCTCAGTCTGCCTTCAGCCTCGGCCTCAGCCTCAGCCTGCCTCAGCCCCAGCCTGCCTCGACCGCAGCATCAGCCTGCCTCAGCATTCAAAATGTGGCCCAGGAAAGGGAGTTCTGGGAAGTCGAAGAGCACGAAGTTGCCTACAGTTGGCTACGGGCATTCAAAATGTGGCCCGGGAATGGAGTTCTGGGAACTCGAAGAGCACGAAGTGGCCTACAGTTGGCTCCGGGCATTCAAAATGTGGCCCGGGAATGGAGTTCTGGGAACTCGAAGAGCACGAAGTGGCCTACAGTTGGCTCCGGGCATTCAAAATGTGGCCCGGGAATGGAGTTCTGGGGACTCGAAGACCACGAAGTGGCCTACAGTTGGCTCCGGGCATTCAAAATGTGGCCCGGGAATGGAGTTCTGGGAAGTCGAAGAGCACGAAGTGGCCTACAGTTGGCTCCGGGCATTCAGAATGCGGCCCGGGAATGGAGTTCTGGGAGGTCGAAGAGCACGAAGTGTGTGACTGTTAGCTTAAAACGACTTCTGCGGCCCCCTGTTCGGCACCCGCCCAGACCCCCCTGTGGAGTCATCTGCTGCTCTCTTTTAAGACTATTAGAAACCTATCAGTCTTCGCTGTTAGGTAAAAACAGGCTCGATTGCGCGGACATTCGCGCGTAAGCTGCTTGCGCAAGATAACACATAAACACCCTCATTTCCAATGTAGCGTGCCGCGCTGGCGGCTCGCGCACGCTGCTGCGCAATGTCGCTACGTCGCCTTTTGCAAGACGCATTTCTTTTCGTCGCTCGAGTGGTCGTCGCACCTTGCCCACATACCCCTGCTTTGGCCCCCTGGCGAAGTGCCCCCTCAGGCCATTGGCTAAGACATAGCCTAGCCGATTTCTGATCTGGCCGGCCCGGCAGGCTCGGCCTGGCACCCCATCGTATCAGCGTCTAGCCGCCTAGCCGGCTAAAGCGCCTATCTGACTGACTCCCTTTTCCCACCACACCAAGGCAGGGGGATTTGCCCACTGGGTGCCATCACAGTAGCAGTCTCAGATGGCTCCAGCTCGCAGGTGCGACGCCTGCCGCCGCGCGAGCCCCCGCGCGCGCTCGGGCACGAACCCTGGCCGCGCCCATGGACACTCCAGCAGCACACGCCGCAGATGCGGGCGAGGCGTGCTGTGACAGCCAGGCCGCGGAGGCGGGCGAAGGGTGCACCCTCAGCACCAGCTTTGGCGGCTCGGACACCGAGGACTGGCATCAGGAGGGGAAAAAGCACACAGACACAATTAATCCTCGATTCCCCGGAAAATATGGGAAAATATGGGAAGTGGGGGGGAAGACAGAAACCCTGAAAATATGGAAAAATATATGGGAATATGTTTATTTGTGTGTATTTATTTCTGTGTCCTGGGGCCCCTTCATGGCAGGGGAGCTTGAGACTTGGACCCGGCTGAGGGTCTGAGGTGGCCCAGCCTTGGTTCTGGCGGGCAGGAAGGGGTGCCGCGGTCCGAGGCGCTGGGCTCGAGAAGGTGGTCTTTCTTTGTTCGGTCTCCGGGGGGGCCGTTGTCGGGTCCCGGGGCCGTCGGAAACGGATCCAGGGTGCAGGATTGCACCGGATGGGCCTTGGGAGGTGTCGGGGGACCGATTTTGATTATCCCGGCAAAGCAACCTAACAGCGATGTGTAGAAGCATATCTGAAAGCATTTCCCTTAAGATTCAGATGAAAATCCAGTTGTAGAATTCTGCTGTTCTCGCAGTCGTAGTCGCATTCGCGATGACAGTCGCAGCGGCAACGGCAGTCGCAGTCACAGCCTCAGCCTCCTCAGCCTCAGCCTCAGCCTGCCTCAGCCTCAGCCTGCCTCAGCCTCAGCCTCAGCCTGCTTCAGCCTCAGCCTCAGTCTGCCTTCAGCCTCGGCCTCAGCCTCAGCCTGCCTCAGCCTCAGCCTGCATCAGCCTCAGCCTCAGCCTCAGCCTGCCTCAGCATCAGCCTGCCTCAGCCTCAGCCTCAGCCTGCCTCAGCCTCAGCCTCAGTCTGCTTCAGCCTCAGCCTCAGTCTGCCTTCAGCCTCGGCCTCAGCCTCAGCCTGCCTCAGCCTGCAGCCTCAGCATCAGCCTGCCTCAGCATTCAAAATGTGGCCCAGGAATGGAGTTCTGGGAACTAGAAGAACACGAAGTGGCCTACAGTTGGCTCCGGGCATTCAAAATGTGGCCCAGGAATGGAGTTCTGGGAACTCGAAGAGCACGAAGTGGCCTACAGTTGGCTCCGGGCATTCAAAATGTGGCCCGGGAATGGAGTTCTGGGAACTCGAAGAGCACGAAGTGGCCTACAGTTGGCTCCGGGCATCCAAAATGTGGCCCGGGAATGGAGTTCTGGGAAGTCGAAGAGCACGAAGTGGCCTACAGTTGGCTCCGGGCATCCAAAATGTGGCCCGGGAATGGAGTTCTGGGAGGTCGAAGAGCACGAAGTGTGTGACTGTTAGCTTAAAACGACTTCTGCGGCACCCTGTCCGGCACCCGCCCAGACCCCCCTGTGGAGTCATCTGCTGCTCTCTTTTGACCCCACTAGAAACCTATCAGAACAAGCTGTTAGGTAAAAACGTATTTTTCTTGACCGATTTTCTGGGGACCCTTTCCAATTCAGACCCCTTGGCCGCCTCCAAGGCAGGGGGGTCGAGACGGTCGCCGCCCCAAGCGCACGAAGCTCGGATCCGATCTTCTGATGTTGGGTTCGGGCTGCAGCGGGGGCGTTGGATGAAGAGTTGAAGGCCATACCTCGGCACACTCTTCAGACTCTGGAAGTGACGGAGATGGTCGACGGGTTCCCTAGCATCGGCCACCCATCGGCCACGGGGCCTTGGATCCCTTATCTAACATTTCTGTTCCCGAGATACGTACCAGGCAGGTGCGAACTGATAGTATATGGACTTACCAGGCGTCACTTGCCAGTAGTCCTCTCATTTGTGTGCGCCAGCTTCCACGGAGCGGACCCCCATGCTGCCTAATGTGACACAGCAAAATCAGTGCACCAACCATGCGCTGCACCCGTCACGGACGAGCGGGAGGAGGTGTGGTGAGTGTATCGAGGGCGCCTATTGTGAATCACCGCCGCCCACTGTTTTCTGCAAACGCTCATGCAGCCAAACCTTGGGCCGAAGTTTGGTCAAGCTGCTGGACCATGTGCTCCCCTAGCCGTTATGGAACCTCTTTGGGCATCAATGGGGAGAGAAAGAGAAAGGAGAGGAGGGAGGAGATGGAGGACGAGAGGAGGAGGAGGAGGAGGAGGAGGAGGAGGAAAGAAGAAGAGGAAGCCTCTTGAGTCCCTCTGGGGGGCCTCCTGGTGGTTTCCCGGGAGCCTCTTGTGGACCTCTGAGGGGCCTCTTGGGAGCCTATTAGGGCATCTTGGGGGCCTCCTGGGGCCCGTGGGGTCCTCTCTCTGGACAGTCGTGGGTTCCTCTTTGGGCGCTGTAGGGCCGCGGAGGTCTATGGGGCCGTCTTGGGAACATCTTGGGCCGTCTTGGGGCCTTCTTGGGCTGTTTTGGGGCGATCTTGGGGGCCTATGGGACCGTCTTGGAGCGTGGGAAACACGAAAAGACGAGAACGCTGAAAATAGTGAAAGACCATTGGAAATCAACGATTTTGGCCTCCCGAAGATCCTCTGGGAGCACTCCTGGGGCGTCTTGGGACTTGGACCGTCGGGAGGACATCTCGGGGCCGTCTTGGAGGCGTCCTGGGACCGTCTTGGAGGCAATCTTGGGACCATCTCAGCCGTCTTGGAGGTATCCGTCTTGGAGACGTCAGGGACCTTGCCTCCCACCTTGTGGGAACTCTTCGGGTGGCTGGCGCGAGGGGCATTGACCCAATTGGGATTTGTTTGTTCTACCCCCCCCAAAAAAAAATCCAGTACGCCGTGCACCCCTGTCACAAGCCACAGGGTGCGGCGGATGGACGACGCCTACGGCCAATTACCGCCGCACCCTGCCTTTGGGGGAAATGCCTCTATGGCCAAACGTTTGGCGATAGCTTGGCCAAGCTATCGGACTATCGGACTATGTATTCCCCCAGCCGCTCTGGAATCTCTTCGGGCAACACTTTGGGGATGATGAGAGGGAGGATCAGGAGAGGGAGGAGGACGAGGAGAGGAGGAGGAGACCTCTTGGGACACTCTTAGGGCATCCGGGGAGCTTCCTGAAGGCCTCTTGGGGGCCTCCTCGAGCCTCTTGGGGGCTTCTCGGGGGCCTCTCTGGCAGTCTTAGAGCGTTCCTGGCCCGTCTGACGCAGTCGGACGCTGGCGTGGGGTCCCCTTGGGGCGCTTCATGGTCGTCTTGGAGGCCATCTTGGGCGTCTTGGAGGTCTCATGGGCCGTCTTGGGGCCCTCTTGAGGCCGTCTTGGGGGCCACTTGAGCCGTCATGGGGCCATCTTGGAGACCTCTTGGGCGATCTTGACAGTTTCATGGGCCGTCGTAAGGCCGAAAATGAGCAAATGCCAAAACTTTTGTTCAAAAAAGAACAAAAACATATTCAAATGTCTATCTTCTTATTTGTGTAAGAAAAATAAACGGGAAACTCAATGATTTGGAGCTCTTCGCGTCTTCCACGAGGCCCAAGCCTCTTGGGGGCCTCTTGGGCCATCTTAGGACCATCATGGACCGTTTTGGGTGCATAGTAAAACCATCTTGAGCTCTCTTGAGGCCATCGTAGCCGTCCTGGAGGTCATCTTGGCCGTCAAGGACGCCATCGTTGAGCCATCTGGAGCGGAAAACCGACCAGGTTTGGCGGAGCTGTTTGGTTGGCCGGCGCGTTGGACCGAAGGCCTCTTGGAACCGTTAAAACGTTTCAGACCGAACTAAAATTTGACACGCCTTGCGCCCCTGTGGCAAGCCAACAGGGGGCAGCGGATCGAAGACGCCCACGGCGAATCACCGCCGCCCCCTGCCTTGTGGAGCGCCTATGCGGCCGAACGTCGTAGTCCTCCCAGCCGTTGTTCTTTGGCCGCCTGGGGGCGTTCCTGGCCCGTCTGACGCCGTCCGGAGCCGTCTCGGGGGCCTCTCTGGGCCGACTCGGGGCCCTCTTGGAGCGCTCCTCCAGGGCCGTCTTGGAGGCCATCTTGGGCGTCTCGGAGGTCTCCTGGGCCAGCTGGGGGCCCTCTTGGGGCCGACTTGGAGGCCTCTTGGCCCGTCGTGGGGCCATCTCGGAGGCCTCTTGAGTGCTTTGGGGGCCATCTTTGTGGCCACTGGGCCCGTCGTGGGCCGCGGAAAGCCGAAATCGAGCGAACGCTAGAATCTGTCAGAAACTGTATAAAATAAATGAGTTGGGCCTCTTCGGGCCTTCCTGGAGGTCCTCTTGGAGGCCTGGGCCGGCGAGGGCGATGTTGAGGCCATACTGGGCCAGCTTAGGCTCTCCTGGAGCCATCTTGGAGGCCATCTTCGCTGTCTTGGACTCCATCTTGGAGCCATGTGGAGCGGAAAGATCCTTGCCGACTGGGTCTGGTGAAGCCTTGTTGTGTGGCTGGCGCATTAGGCCGAAGGCCCCAGGGTTTTTTATAACGGACCAAAAATTGCCGAATGTTTGGTACGCCGTGCACCCTTGTGGCAAGCCGCAGGGGGCGGTGGTTCTAGTGGCATTCGGCTTATCCCGCCACCGTGCCTGAGTTGTAGATCGGAGGCCTCTTCGGTGCCTGCAGGGATCTACTGGGCGGCCCTCGGAAGCCTCCTGGAGGCAGTTTTGGGGTTGTCTCGGGGCCTCTCTCGGAGGCCCTCGTCGGCCGCGGCTGTGTGGTGAGTTTCTCCACGCGCGAGGTGTGCCCTCGAGAGCAGCAGAGGTGCTTCCGCTGCAGGGCGCGCGCAAACGCTCGGTGCATCCATTTTTGGCAAGCGTGGCGGCTCAAGTGGACGCCCCGCAGGATCTGAACGTACTGCTTGAGGCTGCCCACTGCTGTCAGAACCAGAGGTTCCCTGCGCCAGCCTGCTTTACTGCTTCACTGGCCCCGATTGCCAAGCCTAGTGAAGTCCCCTCTGGTAGGCAAGCCTCCGCCTTCGCTGCCACGACACGGAGGCCGTCGAACGACCGTCTGGAATGCAAGAAGTAGGCGCGGGCGTGGACGTCCGCGCCGCACTTCGGCGGCGCGCCCGCGCGCAGGGCAGGGCCGGTGGGCGCCCGCCTGTGGCCCGGCATTCGTTGCCGGGCTGCCCCCTCTTCCGAACCTCGGGCAGCAAGCGGGTGACCACCTCGGGGGGTGCAAGGATCACCCGCTGCTTCCCAGACCCCCTCGGGTCATGAACAAATCACGACGGGAGGTTTTTCGCTATTTTCGGCCTCTGGGGGCTCTCACCGGGCCTCGGGACCGTCAAAAAACGAGTCAGGATGAAAAACCGGTCCCGGGGAAGGGGTCCGAACCTCTGGGGGATCGCGTCATGAAAAAATCATGACGTCGGGGGTCTGGGTTACCCGAAGCTCGGGGAGCCCAGGCTGCCCCGCGCCCCGCCCGACTGTCGCCGCGCTTCGGGCAGCGAGCGGGGGACCAGTTCACCCCCCCCGTGAAGTGGGCACCCGCCTGGTACCCGCAGTGCCGAGGGGCCCAGGCTGCCCCCCCCCCCCGTCGGAATTCGGGGAGGGCCGGGCTGGCCCCCCCCCGAATCGCCGGAGTTCGAGTGACGAGCGGGCGGCCACGTCACCCGCATGAGATGGCCACCCGCTCGTTGCCCGAAGCTCGGGGGAGCCCAGGCTGGCCACCTCCCGAAGTTCGGGCAACAAGCGGGTGACCATCTCGGGGAGTGAAATGGGAGCCACAGGGGGGGTGGGGGGGGCGGAAAGGCGGCGGGGGTGCCCAAGCAGGAGGGGTCACCAGCGTGTCTCACAATACGTCGGAGGTTGGGGGGTGAGTCCGACGTGAAACGGAGACCCCCCATACCGGGAAATCGATTTCGGTTTCGGGTTCGTGTCGTGCGTGCCGTGCGTGCGTGCGGGCGAGGCGGAGCTGCGTGGGCGGGCGAGAGGAAATCCTCCTGTGGCTGGGCCGCGGACGGACCAAATGTTTCTCCTCCGGCGGCCAGTGGCCCGCGGTGTCCCGCCGGTGTCCCGCTGTAGTCCGGAAATCTTCCTGTAGTTGGGCGGCGGCCGGACCAGTGCCCGCCGTGGTTCACGCGCCGCCCGAGGGGGGCGTGCGAGCACCAGGCTTTGCCACTGCGTCAGTTGTTGACGTGGGAACCCCAGCGCCGTAAGGAGATGCTGCCACCCACACGCAGGCGCCGCTGGCACCAAGCTTTGCTCGTGCCTCGAGCGCCGGACCTGCAACCAAGGCAGCATCTGGTGGCGCCGCGAGCGGTCACTGTGGCACCGCAGCACGCACGTTCGACCACGTCGACTAGTGTTGAGGTGAGGTTCGCGCGATTGATAAGCGCACGCGGGGACAGCGCTTCACGACAATGTCGAGTGCGCTTCGCCAACACCGCCGCATCACATCACGCTCACGTGCACAGTCACACTACTCACTAGACTCCGTCCCACAGGCATCGTCAGAACAACAATCACCATTTTTGCCCATTGCTGCCCCCCCCACCAGAAAAAAAAAAACCTTATCACCCGCAGGGTGGCCCGCAGGGTGGTCGTATAGGTATTTTTTCATTATAAAGATATTGGGTAACAAGCGAGTGCCTATGTCACCCCCTGACATGGTAACCCGCTTGTTAAATCATTATCGGGAGATCGTTTTCCATAACATATGGTAACAAGCGGGCGACTACTTCAGAAGGTGAAAGGGGTACCCGCTTGTTACCCAATCTCTATGTAGCGAAAAGATATTCGGAGACAAGCGGGCGTTCACCTACCCCCACGCATGACTAGGCGCAGCCCGACCGCGGGCTTTCCCCTCTTTGTCCCAAGCGAGCATAGGGAGAGAAAGAGGATGAGATCAAGGAGAACAAGACGGGGGATGGGACAGAGACGAGGGGGGAGGAAAATGAAGGAGGAGCAGGAGGAGGAGGAGTGTGTCGCCCGCGTGCTATTGCATCTCGGTGTCCTTTCCTCCGCCTCGCCCCCGGAGTCCATGTGCGGCACGCACGGTTCGATTACACTCGTGAGAACGCGGTGCTTGCCACGGCTTTTATATAGCTAAACGAATGGCCTCCCAACAGGATACACGACCTTCAATTGTCCCCCAACAACTCGAGGCTCTTGAAGCCACGACTGCCAAGATGCCCAACGAATACTCGATTTTACCCCCGCAGCCTGGAGATGCCCGACCATACAGGTGGTTGAGGCCTCGGCGTGCGGCGTGACCATGCAGACGTTTTCCCCCTGGATGCTGGGGCTCCTCATCTTGGTGGCGCGCCTGGGGAGGAAGTGAGAGGGAGCCGGCCTTCTCAGAAGGCGGCTGAGCTTCTCAGAAGCCCCCTGGCCTTCCGAGAAGTCTTCTCTGCTTTCGGGGAAGGCTAAGAAAGCTCTTTCGACGGCACGAGGCCATCCCAGCCCCCTGAGGAGGCCCACCCCCTCTCACTTCCCCCCCGGGCTCGCCGCCAATCATCCTCCTCCTTCTCATCTCTAAGCTTCCCAGATGGGGTCCGAGTAGATAGGGGTCGGAGGATCGCGCCGCATCGCCGATGCATCGCCGATGCGGCTCGACGTGGAGCTCGATTTTCTCCACGCCAAGGGCGTCGATGCATCGCCGACGTCGCCGATGCGTCGCCAATGCATCGGCGATGTACTGCCGATGTATCGCCGATGCAGCGCGATCCTTCGACCCCATCTACTTGGACCCCATCTGGAGGCCACCATCCTCCTCGTCCTTGTCCCCGTTTTCCTGAGCCTCCTCCTCCTCCTCCTCCTCCTCCTCCTCCTCCTCCTCCTCCTCCTCCTCCTCCTCGTCCTCCTCCTCCTCCTCCTCCTCCTCCTCCTCCTCCTCTCATCATCATCATCATCATCATCATCATCATCATCATGATCCTCCTCCTCCTCCTCCTCCTCCTCCTCCTCCTCCTCCTCCTCCTCCTCCTCCTCCTCCTCCTCCTCCTCCTCCTCCTCCTCCTCCTCCTCCTGCTCTATCATCGAGGTTCGAGGATCGAGGCCACAGACTCTCGAGTGTTTCCTGGGCCTTGCTGGAGCCTCCGGCCCCCGGCGCTCTCCTCGGAGAGCGCCCGGGGGGGGAAGAGGAACAGCGGGGGCACGACCACGACGACGAGGACGGGGAGAGGGGGGGTCGGCCACGCGACGACGACGACGACCAGGAGGAGGAGGAGGAGGAGGAGGAGGAGGAGGAGGAGGAGGAGGAGGAGGAAGAGGCGGAGGAGGAGGACGGCGACGACGGAGGTCAAAAAAAGAGGACGGCGACGACGACAGCGATGAAGAGGAAGAGGAGGACGACGCCGACGACGAGGAGCAGGAGGACGGCGCCGACGAAGAGGAGGACGACGAGGAGGAGGACGACGCCGACGAAGAGGAGGAGGACGAGGAGGAGGACGACGACGACGACCCTCTGACGGAGCCCCCTTGGTGCGGGCCCACAAGAGCCCCTCCAGAAATGTCCCGCGCGCCTGGAGTTGTCCCCCCCGTCTTAGTGTTGACTGTGGACATGCCCGTCCGGATGAGCGAGCCCAGGTACGGCCTCAGGCTTGTGAGATAGCGTTCGGGAAAAACAGCCCTCCCTCATCCTGGAACTCTCGATGCCGGTCATGTGCGTGCTAGGACGACCACGGCCGTCTCGCTGTTGTACCTATTCTCGATCAGCAGGCCGTCGAGCTCAATGGCCCAGTCGATGATGGCGTCGTCGACCCCGGCTCTTAACCTTGATTGATACCCGTAGGCCCTCGCCACCCCGCGAAGCCGCGCACCGCCTGGGACCAGTCCTTGGCCCGGGGTCTCTCCCTGGGTGTGGCCTCGCAGAGCGGAGCGGGGTGGAGACCGGGCAGCAGCAGCAGCACCACCACCACCACCACCACCACCACCGCCAGCACCGGGGGCGGCAACAGCAGCAGCAGGAGTTGGGCGGGGAGCACGTGGAGATCTGAAGCGACGGAGTCGCGAGCAGGAGCAGAGTCGGATTCCCTCTGGCAGACACGCCAGGGGGAGGGAGGAGGTGGAGGAGCAGGAGCCGGAGCAGGAGCAGGAGCAGGAGGAGCAGCAGCAGCAGGAGGAGCAGGAGTAGGAGTAGGAGTAGGAGGGGGAGGAGGAGGAGGAGGAGGAGGAGGAGGAGGAGGAGGAGGAGGAGAAGCAGGAGGAGGAGGAGGAGGAGGAGGAGGAGGAGGAGGAGGAGGAGGGGGAGGAGGCTGTGTCCCCCGCGTGCTGCTGGTGCCTCCGTGCCCTCTCCTCCGCCTCGGCCCTGGGCTCCCTGCGCAGCACGCGGGCGTGCAGGGAGGGGCCTTGGCGCCCCCGCACCCACCCAGGACGGACCCCGCCCGGGCCCGCCCGCCGCGGAGGGCCCCCAGGCGGCGGCCACCCCGAGCTCCTCGGCGCGGCCCGCGCGCGGCGCGGCCGAGGCGGCAGCCGAGGCGGCGGGCGAAGCGGAGGGCCCGCGCCCCGCCGAGGCGGCGGGCGCGAGGGGGGCGGAGGGCGAGGCGGAGGGCCCGCTTCCCGCCCAGGCGGCGGCCGACGGGGGGGCGGAGGGCGAGGCGGAGGGCGAGGCGGAGGGCGCGGAGGGCCCACGCCAGTGGGGCCCGCGCCCAGCCGAGGCGGCGGCCGCGAGGGGGGCTCTGGCCAGCGGCGCCGAGGGGGCTGCGTGCACGCCGCTGCGGA